ATATTTTTCATGTGTATATATTTGTTAACAATATGGTTGCACTATTATTGTTATACCTTTGGCAGACTTGGGCTATGGTTTATGCCCAGCTGATGGAAAAATTGCTTAGAACTTGGTCACATATGTGATACAACTGATTAAATTCAGGTATTGGGATAGTGGGAAAAATACCCTCTATGTGCTCATTCTTGTTAACAGCAAGGCTGAACTGACATAAATTTAGCAGATTTTTGTGTTGTGGTTGGAGCCTAGCTCTGTTTCTTTCCCTTTTCCAATGTCCACCGGAGAAGAGGTGTCTGTCGCCACCAGTGATGTAGGAGGTGTAACCACACATGTCCTCTGAGGCGGTATATGGTTTTGAAGATCACTAATGGTAAATATTTTATATATTTGATGAGAACATATATGCTTATGTGTTGTCTTTATCCCAACAGCCTTTTATATAAAGTGATTTTAAGTTTATCTGAGAGCCTCCTGAAGAAGTAATTGTCAGAGTATTGCGAAACGCATTGAGGTGTTACTGTTCTCGTTACTGGGCCTCTGTTTTCACACAAATCTTAAAAACTGTATGTATATAGACTCATATAAACACATTGTAAACAAATTGAATAAGTTGGCCGAGCGAGATAATCTCTCGATTCTATGTTGTTCAATGGGCTGTGTTTAATTAATAGTTGTGATGATATTATTGCCTCTTTTGAATTTAATAAAATAATTGATTTTTAATGAATAAAATTGTATGAGTTCCATAAACGTAAGCCAGAATTCTAGGGAACCTATTTTTCTTGTTTAATCTCTGGAGTAGTAATTATTCGGATGTGGTACTTTCTCCCCTTTTACCGAGGCAGAATACACCAAAGGGACGAAAATAACTATTCTTGATGAAGCGGGCAGAGGATTTAGCTGCTGGATGCTTGGACTTCTTCGGTAGTAAGAAGGTGCTCTTGCCTAGAGACTTTCTTAATGTAAGTATCCAAGGATTCACCAGACATATTTTCCACTGAAGGGCATGCATTCAAAGTGCTTCTTGCAAAGAAGCTCCTTATACCAGCATTTTTCCACAACATCAGCATATAGACGGACACGACACTAATCCTGGAGATTGGTGACCTGGAGAAGGTATATGCCAGGCCATCTACATAGTAGTGCAAGGCTACAGGAAAGAGTTCTAAAGGTTTTAGAGTGGTGGAGTCCATCAAGATGGACCTAGGGTTCTTAGCCATAGCCTTATACCATGCAGATAAGGTTTGACACACCACCATGGTGGCAATAGTAGGTTGCATAGCAAGACCTTCAAGCATAAATAAGGCCTTAAGGAGGATCTCTAACCTCCACATGGTCCTTGAAAACAGAAACATCCTTAACAGCCCTTGTGCACAACTTGCGGTCCAAGAGTGCTACATTCAAACCACAGAGGGGCACAATGAATCCTACTGCTGTTGGAACCACTAATTTGAGGAAGGGGCTGCCCTGGGTAACTGAGTAGTGAAAATATCTGACCTACTAGCCTTAGAGCAGCAGCTGACTTGGCACTGTGGTGACTTAAAGGGAACTTCCCCCTCCCAGTGGGTGTACCCATAGAAGGGTTTCTATAGGGACGAGCTCCACTACAATGAACTGCCATCCCAGACCTGTAGAACAACCTGCGGCAACTACACAAGCTGCACAAAGTGCCAAGGAGAGTGCCCCGCACAAGATCCGACGCACTAAGCACATTATAGGCCAGCCCCGCATCCTCGGCGAGGTCTGGGTGAGGTCCAGAAAGGTTCTGTGAAGAGAAAACCAATCCAGATAACTGTTATTAGGTGCTGCAGTGGCTGTGAGGAGCATTAGGGAAAACTTTAGAGAAGGTGCCCATCACCTAAGGACACTAAGGGCTTGTTTACAACATGTCCAGACCAGATCTGGATGCATTTCTGCAAAGGCTGTGCAGTACGTTTTTTATGCTTTCTGGTGCGGTTTTGAATTTTTTTTAAATGGGCTTTTAGGTGCAGTCCAGTGCGTTCCAGTGTGTTTGCATGCATTTTGGCTGTGCTTACATGCGTTTTGGTGTGTTCCAGACCAGAAAAAAATAGTACATGTAGCATTATTTTTCCCTGCACCTGAACGGACTGCCCAGAAATACCATTGGAATACATTGGGATGCATTTCAGGTGCCGACAAAAACGACTGGTTCGGACATGGTGTGAACATGCCCAGGCTGGGAGTGGTTATATAGGGCTGTCTTACAGCTTTGATTTATTTGCCAGTGTTCAATCACCTAAGGGTAATTGCATAATGCAGTGGTTAAGGAATATATATTCTTGTGCCTTGTTATAGATCAAGAAAAATACGTTTATTAATATTTCAAAAAAATAAATGATTAAAATCCGGGAATTCAAACTGCAGTATGAGAAATAGTATACTGCGGTAATAACAAATATTCACATACTTCTTACTCTACAAAAATGTCCTGTATTGAAACAATTACATATATCTGATGGTTTTGTCAGGATGCAGTAGTACTGTTTACCAATTGTGTTTTAAATAAGAAAACATTTTTCCCCCTCAATTTTGACCATTTTCTAGCTTATAATAAAAACAAGAGCATAGTATTAACAAAATAAAAGATAAACAATATATACATTTTAATGGCAAACAAGTAATCAGTATTGTCAAGTTATCTCATGCAGGCTGAGACTAATACATTTGGTCTGGACATCGAGGCTTCAATGACCTCTGATTATGAGTTAATGCCTATAGAAAAGTTACATAACCAACCTGGCAGCGTTGTCTAGATTATTAGGCTGGCTGAACTGAATTACAAATCTGTTTTCAGATAAAACAGATTGCATGGAGTTCAGTTTTAGGCAAATTAGGTTGAGGATGTAAACAGTGTGAATGATTTAACAGGCAAACATATTTTATAATTATCTACACTCTGACTGCCACCACTCTATTGCACCTGCAACAATAAATACCAGTTTACTCTTTCACTCTCCATAGTGTGCAACATAATGAGACTCACCATCAGTGAAGAGAGGCTCAGGGAGTTTTCGGAAAAAGGATTTAAGCAGACTACTGACCACGTTCAAGTCTTGCCATCGCTGAAACAAAACAAAAAATAGATCTAAGTGGAAATTAAATAATGTGTGTGGACCTACCACTTCTTTTCCCTTCCTTCCTTTCATGCTTTATCCCTTTAAAAAATGCTGCAAGTACAGAATACCTATCGATCTACCTAAAATCCAGTGTGCTCTGAAATTCCTACCAGCATTGTCAGCACTGCCTGCTGGACTACATAACTCCACCCATCCCCCACCCCTCGATTTTCTACTGTATGTGCAAAGACTGATTGCTTCCTTGACCCTCAAGAGCCTGCCCACACACTGTGTGTAGGTTAAGGGTTCTTGGAGATTAAGTTCTCAATGCCCACTTCAGAGGTGTATACATTCCACCAATAGATCATGCTGGGTGGGAACACACTGCAGAGGTGTATACATTCCACCAATAGATCATGCTTCAATAAGAACTTACTTCCCAACAGATGCCCCTGCAAGAGTTTGGCAAGCAGGGTAATAGTAAAAGCTGTTTCTCCCAACAGGAATAAGGAAAATGTAAAAAAAGTGCTAGAGACGGTTTGGGAGTACATTTGGGTAATGTCTGGACAGGCACTTTAGTCATAAAATGTAACTCATAAACTATATGTAACCCAATCACTAAAATGTCATATAATCTTTAACCCTTTCAAGTCAAGGAATAATTAAAACTTGCATGACCAGTTAAAATTTTCGTTCAATCAATGTTTATTGATTTTAAACATTTTTCAAACATGTATAGTAAGTACAACATATTAGCACAATGTGGGATTACAGATCGGTCAGTGTTGCATAAACAAATGAAATGTACAAAATTCAAATCAAGGCGTGCAACCATTGAAGCCCTATCGGGCTATCAGGAAACATGTCACTAAAAATGGAACATAAAAAAGTGTGGGAGAACATCGTTGAGGGCCCTTTCAGGACTCAAGCCCTGTTAAGGAGACTCAAAGGAGACTCAAAGTAAAGTAATGAAGAGGGAAAGGGGAGAAGAACAGGGAAGAAGAGTAAGCAGGAATGGTAAGGGTGGGGAAGAGGGACTGGGTCCACAAATATCTCAGAGGACGAGCGAGTCTAAATGAAAAGTGGAAGGCATGTAGGAAACAAACCATGGTTCCCAAATCTTCTCAAATATAAGAAGGGTGTCTGACTTGACAGCCAACATTTTCTCAAAGAATATGACTTGTGAAACCCTATACTTGACTTCCAAAAAGGGGACTTTGAGGGAGCACAAGCTTGTGCAATCACCCACCTAGCTTCAGTAAGAATATAGTCAACCAGCCGAAACTGATTTCATGTGCAGACCAGCATTTTTTTTACCAAGTAGTGCTTCAGTTGGGTTTTTGCAAAATGATTGCCCTGTAACAGTATAAATCAGTTGATACACCCTAGACCAAAAGCGGTGGATCCTGCAACACTCCCACCAAATGTGAAGAAAGGAACCTTCAGCATGACAACCCCTGAAATAGAACGGGGACCTGGAGGAAACTGCACGGGATATGCGGAGAAGGACTAAATACCATTGTAGGAGTAATTTGTAGTTTGCTTCTACTGCTTTTACATTGGTAGAACTCTTTGCAGTCGTGGTCCAAATCGGGACCACGTGTTTTCATCGAGGGAACATCCTAGTTCTTGTTCCCATTTAGAATCATAGGGAGGAAGACTCTTATGCAATGACTCCATCAGGAAAGCGTAAAAATGAGAAATCAGGCCTGGGCCTCATATGTCGAGAGATAAAGAGTTTTTCAAAGGGCGTCATAATGGTCAGGTCTTGGACTGGGCCAGCCAGCGTCTGTAAAAAGTGCTTAATTTGTAAGAATTGAAAAAGATCTCTGGGAGCAAGCTGATGTCTATCTTGAAGCACCAGAAAGGAGACAATACACGATGTAGTATAGAAGTGTCTAGTCTGGGACAGAGATCGTGACCGCCATCGCTGGAAGGCGGGGGGGTTATCATATCCCGGGAGAAAAAGGGTGCTCCCTTGTACAGACATAAGAGGGGCGTGCGAAATGCCCATCCCTGAGAGACCTTCAGGGTATCCCAGAGGCGCAGGGTATGTTTGGTGACGGGGCATGAAACGGTTCTACAAAGTTTGGTGGGCAACCACGGAAGGTTGGTCAGGAGTATTGGGTCACAGACATATGCCTGCAGGGAGACCCAGAAAGCGACTTCCTGTCCTGAGTGCCAATGAATAAAGGGAATCATTTGCACTGCCGTGTAGTACTTCTGAAACAGTGGTAGTCCCAGACCTCCCTGAGCCTTTGAACGGTGAAGGACAGATCGAGCAATCCTGGGAATGGAACCGGAATAGACAAATTGGAGAATTTGATGCTGTAGAAACCATAGTCGGAAGGATGGAATATGAATTGGTAGAACCCTAACAAAATACAAAAACTTAGGAAGGAGTGACATCTTCACAGCCGTGATTTTGCCAAGCCATGAAATATGGTGTTTACCCCATGAGGTCAGAGGCGAGGGCAGATGGGCGAACAGTCTAGGATAGTTTGTGTTGTATAGGGTATCATATGACGGGGTAAGGTGAACACCAAGATAGGGGAGGGCGGTTTAGACCCAAGAGTAGTGAAAGGAGATTTTTAGAGAATCACAGAAAGAAGGGGGAAGTGAGACATTAAGGGCCTTGGTTTTGTTTGGGTTGACGTGTAAGCCAGACAATGTTCCAAATTGGTGCAACAATGGTAGAAGGTTAAGCAAGGAGGTCAGGGGGTTGGAGATCATCAAGAGGGCGTCGTCAGCTAAGATAATCCCAGCCAATGGAATCTAAAGCCTTGGTAATGTTTAGGTATAGCAACATAAGTGGGCTACGCCTGGTGTGGGCTATATGAAGAAGTAAAGAAATGTGATGAATGTTATCACCTGCTTGTTGTCCCGGCATAAAACCAACTTGGTCTTTTGAAATTAGTGTGTTCACTTAGGAGTTAACTCTATCGGCTAGTATTTTTGTGAGTAACTTGATATCTATATTAATTAAGGAAACAGGCCTGAAATTCTCCCAGGAAGTGTGGTCGGCATGGGGATAGGGGATCATGCAGATGGAAGACATTAATGAATCCTGAGGCAGCATATGTCCTTTACATAGGTCGTTAAAGAGTTTGGTAAGGTGGGGGGACAGATCTTCTGGGAATTTTTTGTAATAAAGGGCCGTGTACCTGTCCAGGCCTGGTCTTTTCCCATTGTTCTGTGTCTTTATGGCATTTTTAACTTCTTCAACCGTGATCTCCGAATCAATGTTTATTCTAGCTTCCTCTGTCAGGGTAGGAAGAATTAATTTGCTAAGGAAGGCTTCAAGGGCTGATTGGGGAATCACTCCGGTAGAGTGGTAAAGGGATTGAAGGTGATTTTGAAAGATCCGTAGGGACTTCATGGGATGGGATGTGAAGTGGCCTCCATCAGAACGTTGTTGTATTGGTGCATGTTTGGGACCCACATCTCACAATCTGGTAGCCAACATTTTACTAGGCTTGTCTCCTTGGATATAAAATCTGTGTTTCACCGAGGAAGTTTGTGATAAAGAATTCTCTCAAAGCAGCACCTATGGAGGTGAGCAAGGAGTCTCGCAGAGACCATGTGAAACAATGTTTCTGCGGGAGCGAGGGATTACATGTCAGGCCCACACAATCGTGATCCGACCACAGGATAGGGTGTATAGAGGCAGGCGTAGCAAAGGGTAACGACGAGGTATGCAAAAATATATGGTCAATGCGGGAGAAGGTATGATGTGGATTTGAGTAAAAGGTGTATTGTTCCCTCGCAGGGTGCAGTTCACTCTAGGAGTCCGTCAGGCCGTGTTCAGCCAACCATGAACTGAACTGTCTGGAGGCAATCAAAACAGGTGGGGGGATAGTGGGGTCACCAGGGTCGTGGCAATCAGTATGAGGGTGTAAGATAAGGTTAGAATCCCTGCACATAATCAACGTCCCATATGAACGGGAGTCAAGCACCTTTAGTAAGTGTGTAAAAAAACCCAGCTGTCCAGTATTTGGGGCATAGTATGATACAATAGTAAGAGGGATGTTATGGGTCGATCCCACAAGTATGATGTATCTCCCCTCCGGATCTTTAAGGGATTCGCTGCAAATAAATGGAAGAGGCCTCCGGAAGGCAATAAGGACTCCTCTACATTTAGTTGCAGCGGAAGCCACATAAAAGTTAGGGAAAGCCGAATAGGGAAAAGATGGGGATGAGTCTTTTTTTAAATGGGTTTCTTGAAGGCAGACCACGTCAGCATGCAGGGACTTAAACTGACGGAACGCCTTGACTCTTTTTGTGTGTTGGTTAAGCCCTTGTACGTTCAAGAAAACCACTTTGATGGACATTGTTGGAATTTACTTATCTTAAATGAGGCTATGAGGGGCTGGAGGGAAGGAAACACCAGGCAAGGAGGGGAGAAGCAAGAGAAAGAACAAGAGACGAACAAAAAGAAGGGAGAAGAGAGATAAGAAATAGGGAGTCCCCTTTCCAGGGAAACTAGCAATAGGCAAGTAGGGAGGGCTAGTCACGCATCAGTACTCTGCACACGGCAGGGTCTGAGTGGTGAAGTGTGGGGCTACATGTGAAAACCGTACCGGGCCCGCAGATCAATGTTAGAAATAGTAACTGTGAGCAGCAGAAAAGTCATCAGAAGTAAAAACTGATCCATCAGAAAGTCTAAACATTTGGGAGGAATCGGCATAAAAGGAAATTGTGGTCGTCGTTCCATGCCGAGTGGGGTGTAGGCGATATGTACCATGCAGAAGATAGACTGTATAGGTCTCGATCTCAGCAAAGGAGCCATATCAGGCAGACCGATCGACCCACAAAGGGATATTGATCTAGCGACGAGCTTCTCGGCCAGGGACAACGAGATACGTATGGGAAGACACCATGTTCTATATCAGTAACACACTAGGAATAATCAATGTGCCAGAAGAAAGAACCTGAAAAGTCATTAGTTTGAAACTGGATGTAGTAGAGACAAAGCATATAGCAACAGCAGTGACAGCAAATCATAA